TTACTGCCAGAAAATTCTTCACTACCATCTTAATCCAAAGGATAAATCATCATTTGACCACCAACAGTGTTCATACACTGAAACAGAGTGGTTTCAAGCAGGAATGAGAAGAATATAAGCAATCACTATTGACTGACAAGGTATCCTCAAATGAGGGAAGTAAAGAAATCTAAGCAGAGTACTCAGAGGAGTTTCTTTCCAGCCTTTACTTCTGGCTCAGCAAAGTGTTTAAGGTATAAACAAGTTATACAATATCTTGAGAACTCAGTTAAAGTCCAGAAGCAAAATAGTGGCTTGATTAGACCTAAGCTATCTCATACTTTTGGAATACATGACTGTTCTAACACAAGATTGGAAGACCTAGAAGTTCTTATGCAATTTCACGACCCATCCAAACAGCTCTACTGAGGTTTTGTACATTCTTCATGAGATGTGAGGAAGAAAGCTGAGCAGGATTGCAATAGTCAAGTTGAACACTTAAGAAAATACATTTTCAGCAAAGGCCTGCTGTTGCACAAGGCAATTATTAGGGTAGCTAAGATTTCAGCTGAGTAATGAATGGAGGAAAGCAGCAAAATTTTCCACATGGTGGATTTTCTGCTGTGCTCTCCACAGACCAACTTCAGCATCAGCACTCACATGCTAACTTGAAACTCTGAGAGTTCTTTAGTTAGAGAGAGCGATTTTTCCAACTATTTAGTTGTTCTAATAAAAGATATCACATTTACCCAAAGAACCTTGTCTGCCTTAGTGAAAAAGAGGGATTTGTGTGCACTACCCAAGATGAGATTATTTCAACAGTTATAAGAAATGTTAATCCTTAAAAAATATGTTGCTGACGTGGTATCTATGGGCCCTCAGTGAAACAATCCAGAAGATCATGAACAGGTGCCAGGTAACTGCTAGTTGAGAATACACTTAAGTGGCAAGTGGTGGCTTGTTGGTCTAGGGGTATGATTCTTGCTTTGGGTGTGAGAGGTCCTGGGTTCAAATCATAGATGAGCCCAAGTTTTCAGGAGCTGTGGCTGATGTCACCTACCTGGATTTTAGGAAGGTCTTTGACAGTTTCGCATCCTGTTCTCATAGGAAAGCTAACAGGCTGTGGAGTGGATGCCTACACAGTAAGGTGGGTGGCTAACTGGTTTAGGGACCGCTCCCAGAGAGTGGTGGTGAACTGGTTGTTCTATGCCTGGATGGAGGTGGACAGTGGGGTCCCTGCAGGGTTCAGTCCTTGGACTGCTGTTATTTAATATCTTCATCAGCGATTTGGATGAGGGTGTGGTGAGCACCCTCTCCAAGTTTGCAGATGATACTAGGTTATGGGGCAAAGTTAATACACCAGAGGGCAGGGAGCAGATACAGGCCAACCTGGACAGGTTAGATCAATGGGCAGAATAAAATAGGATGCAATTCAACAAAGATAAATGTAAGGTACTCCACCTGGGAAGGAGGATTCCCAAGCACACCTACAGGTTGGGGGATGACCTGCTCAGCAGCTCAGAGGCTGAGAGAGATCTTGGAGTCATAGTTGACTGCAAGATAAACATGAGCCAGCAGTGTAATGAGGCCATCAACAAAGCCAATCGCACCTTGTCATGTATTAGCAGATGACCAACAGATCGAGGGAGGCGATGCTCCCCCTCTATGCAGCATTGGTCAGGTTGCAGTTGGAGTATTTGGGGGCCACACTTCAAGAGGGACACAGAGAATCTGTAGAGGGGTCAGAGGAGGGCCACTTGCATGATTAGTGGTCTTCATGAAAGACCCTACAAGGGGAGGTTGAGAGATTTGGATCTCTTCAGCCTTTACAAAAAAGGGCTGAGGGGTGACCTTGTAGCCGCCTACAAATTTATCAGGGGAGGACAGCAGGGAATTGGGGATGCGCTCTTTACCAGAGCACCCCAGGAAGTAACTAGGAATAATGGGTGCAAACTAGTGGAGAGTAGATTTAGGTTAGACATTAGGAAGAATTTTTTTACAGTAAGGGTGGCCAGAGTCTGAAATGGGCTTCCAAGGGAGGTGGTATTATCTCCTAACTTGGAGGTCTTCAAGAGGAGGCTTGACAATCACCTGGCTGGGGTTGTCTGACCTTGGTCCTCTTTCCTGCCAGGGGCAGGGGGTCAGGCACGATGATCCATTGGTTCCCTTCTGACTCTATACTCTATGAATCTATGAATACATGTGGCAACATAACGCTGTGGTCAAAACTTTGAATCAGCAATTCACTTATTACAGAAAGCTGAACAATGCCACCACCCTATATACTGAACTATGGGTCACCTCAATTCTGAAATGTATTGAGATACAACAACAATCAGTGACCAACCACACTGTGGATGTGAGCACACATAACATCTGAAATGTTCCAAAATATCTCTCATTGGGAACTGTCTCACAATTGTCATGGGTCAAAGGTATCCACACATACAATGCCCTAGCTTTCCAAGTAGAAAGTCACCTTTTAGGCATTGAAAAACTGTAACTCCAACACCAGGGACCAGGAATGAGTACCCAGCTTAGCATGCCTCACAGTGGAAGGAAGGCAGAGAGAGAAGCAGATGGAGAATGAAGGTCCATCGTCAAATAGGGAGCAAAGGCTACAACTGGTTGTAAAAAGATAGCTTCTATTGAACAACTGAGCTCACTGATTTAAAAAAAATACCAACAAAAGAAAAAACATCAGCAGTAGAGTTCTGGGCACGTACCTGAGCAGCCCGTTACAGCAGTAAGGGAAGGTGGGGGAAGGGTGCTGAGCAGTGACTCAATGCAGGGTTTCTGAAGCACTGACCACCAGATATGTCAGGGAATGCTTGGTGTCCACATGTAACATTGAGCCAGTTCATGCAGTACTTGATTTTCAAGGTAGACTTTTGAACCATTCCATGCAGCTTTAAACTATTGTAATGGGCTTGTATGTCTGTCTGCTTTAGGTATACATTCCATTTAAACTAGTAGAAGTGTTATGTGTGTCCATACCCTGTGTCACACAACTGTCCAGACATCACAGTTATGAGTAAAAAGGCCAGGATTGCACTGCTTATCAATATTACCAACCCACTAGACCATGGGTTTCAAACTAATGGCCCACGGAGCCTCACCATCCAATGAGCTCATGGATTAAAAAAAAATACCAACAAAAGACAAAGCATCAGCAGTAGAGTTCTGGCCATGTACCTGGGCAGCCAGTTACAGCAGTAAGAGGAATGTCCCAGTGCTGCTACTGGGTCTGATCAGACCCACATGGGGCACAGCATGTGCCTATGGCATGGGGCTTGTCCACAGGATGGATCCAGTCCATTGACCTCTCCCCAGCCCATTGACCCCTCCCCACACTGATTTGATGGCTGCTGCAGCTGACCTGGGACCCACACCACATATGGCACAAATCCTGGAGTAGCTCAGCATAGTCCAGCTGGAGCAGGAAGCTCACTGCACATGGTGGCTGCCCTAGCTGGACAGCACTGCACACAGGACCTGCTCTGGGATGCATACCACACACAACATCTGCTTCAGCCAGTCCAAGATCTGTCCAGCACATGGTGCTTGCAGACACCATGCAAGCTACGGTCCTAGAACTGCCAGGGTGGGTGCCATGTGCATCTGCCAGGGTGGGTGCCATGTTCATGGTGTGTGCCATGCAGGGTAGGAAGCCACTGCATACACTAGCTGCAGTACACCATTGGGGGAAAACTAAGAAAATACCATGGCCTGATAATGAAAGAGAAGATATTCTGATGCCTTTAAAAAGGTGAATGTACTACCAATATTGATTACATTGACTAGAGTTATATTAAAGTTGACTGTGAACACCTTAGTGGTACTAGAAATGAAGTGAACCATTCCACTATTCAGAAATTGTGCTCTTGTTGACAGAGATCACCTGAATTAGGTCTATTTATGAGCAGGCCCTCGGGCACCACCATGTTCTGTACATACACTGGCACATATCACTAGAGAGGTAGTTAGCCATGTTAGTCTGAAGTCAGTCAGAAGGCAGGGTAGATATGCACCTTTATAGTTTAACTAAATAATATATAGAGAGAGAACACAATCTTTCATGAACCCACTTCAGCAGATGCTGTGAAAAGAGCTTCAGAAAACAAGAGTGCACAGTGGAATGAGTGATAACAATACAATAGGTAGGAAAGCTGGAGGGAGAGGGAGTGGGGAAAGGGGGAAGAGAAATGCTGTGAGAGACATACAAGCAAAGAACCCAAACAAAGGTTACAAAAGTTACTCCAGATAATGTGATAAGAATCCTTAGTCCCTGTTTAAGCCACACTTAACACAGCCCAGTTTGTGGATAATTTTTTTTCTGCAATTTCTTGTTCAAACTGTTTTTCACAATTTTTCTGCCTGAGAACAGCAACTCTGAGGCCAGTGACAGTGTGTCCAGGAAGGCTGAAGGATTATGCCACAGGTTTTTGTGTCTTTCGGCAGCTGATATCCAGTCAGTGTTCATTCATTCTTATGGGTAGAGAGTGCCCTGGCTATCCAATGTAGACAGCTAATGGTGTATATGACATTGGTAGAGTTGCAGGTGAATGACATTTGGATGTTTTATTCCTTGTTTTTACGTCCAGTGATGATGTGGTCTGTATTGATGTGGGAACACTGCAGGCATACAGTATAATGGTAGCAACTTAGAAAACAAATTTTCGGACAGTTCTGCCCGATACTGCTCTGCAATAGTGGTTCCATACTAATAAACAGATTTTTAAAGGTAACAACGAATTCAGATATAAAGGACAAAGAGCAAAATATAACTTTCCATTCTTGGATTGACTGTTGTAAATTCTTTTTTTTTATTTTTTACTTTTGTTCTTTCATGGTTCATGTTTACCCTCAAATGCCACGTCCACTGCCAAAAAAAAAAAATCAGTCTGGGAGCTAGGCCCCCTGCTGTCACTTACAATGAGTTGCTCCTCTGTTGTTACCAAATGAGATCAATGCGGTTTTGTATGTTTTCTTGCCTTTTTTCTTTATATTTCATTCCAGTTGAATTGTACTTTATGTATGGTATAAAGAGCTGTTGAATACTACCAAACTGCATCCTTTCCCCTTTATGAGTTGAGAAGGTTCATTCAATTTACCTTTGTATTTGTGTGTGGGTAGATGCTGTTTGGGGAAAGAAAGTTTCTTTTGTTCTTAAAACAGGCATGCTCTTGAGTTTTCATTCTGACCAGTAAAACGATCCAAGCAAGCAGAGGTGGGAATAAGCCACAAAGTTCAGATTCTGATCTGAAATTCCACAAAGTTTAAATCAGAAGGATTCTGATTGAAAAATGTTGATTTAAAGAATGAGTTAAACAAAGAGAGTTCAAAATACGAAGAGGAATAATATATATATATATATATATATTTATCAAGAAGAAGAGATAGAAGATGAAGTTAGAGGATAAAAGACTGCAAAGGAGGAAGCAGAAAGCTTAGCTTCCAAAAGCACAAATACAAAGTGAGATATTTGAGGGTTATTTATTTGTATTTGGCTGATCAGGAAGAATGAGCATGTTTAGATCTCAAGGAAGAAGAAAATGGTCAGAGGCAAAACTAAAAGAAGAGGAGAGTACATTCTGAAAC